GAATATACGCACCTTGGATATCTGAGAATCTATATCGTGGTAGGCAGCTAACTGAAGACAAAATGCAACTGTTAAGAACTTGAGATCCCATTAATTAACATCAGATAAAGGCAGGTTTAACTACTATGGTTGCTACTTCCAAAATTTGTCAACTGTGCCAGCACCATTACATAAACTTTTAGATGAAGATATACCATGGTCTTGGGGTTCTAAAGGTTTTGCAGAGGCAAATCATTTTTTGAGATCTTCATTTCTACTAGTTTTTTTTTTAATTCAACCAAGAAGCTGATCATGTAATGTTTCGCCAGTTGAATTGGGTGTTTTGTTAACACACATCACAGATGATGATTCAAGAACACTTAAGCTTTCTTAATCCAAATAAAGACTCATATTTTACATTTAAATTGAATAGAAAATGCCTGTTGATACCTTTTTGGTTTTATTTACTTATGTTGATTAAGATGGCAAAAAAGGATTTAACAAATGTACTTATGGATCAATTTATTATAAGATCGAAAAATTCAGGCTGCCCTTTTGTTAACGATTTTGATGCATAAATGAGGTATAAAACTCTAATTGCAAGAATAACTGCAGACTATAGCTCTCCGAAGAAATATATGGACAGACCGGAGTGTTTGTCAATATATAAATATATTTTTTCGGAGAGCCACATTTCTGCAGCTTATGCAAGAATATCGTAATTTCAATGTATGTTTAAAATATTTTTTAAGAAAATTGTCATCTGTTTTAAGCAGAACTTTTAGAATTGCGAAATGCGATAAAACAAATGCGAAAAATAAACTGGAATAGCTCAAATAATATTACTGATGCATTTGATACGGCTAAAAATGATTTATTTGATTCTGAAAGACTTGTAAATAGAGGAAATAGTGTAAAAGTCGAAGGAATGATTTTAAAATTATTTAATTATTCAAATTTATTTTTTCCAATGTTAAATGTTATATTTTGGAAAATTATTTCGTACAATTACCACCCATGCCAAGCATATAATTTATATTGATATTTTGATATGTGATATATGCTAGGTATTTTTTGTTGTGTTTATTTTTGTAATATTTTTTCGGGTTTTGAATTGAATTTCATCTTACACATCTAACATAGACTGACACGTTAGAGAAGAGTTCAATTTTTCCAAAGAAGATAAGGTTTGGGCTTTATTGTGCACTACATTTCATGTTCTTAAAAAGTTATCATATTGGCTTTACCATGCGTTAGGTAGATGGATATGATAAATCATAATGTGGCACATTGGTGGACCTCTCTGGACATATGACGTCATTAATTTGGGGCATTTTAAAGTCTTATGCAGAAAAGCCTCAAAATGATGCTTAATTTTCTTTTAGAAAAAATAGTGTTTGCCACCTTCACCCGCTTTAATTTTTTGATATGTTGTGTAAAATGATTTGAAAATTCTCACATCTCAAAATCTTTGTGGGCGATGTATGCACTGTATGTTTACTGAAAGAAAATTCCACTAAAAATACTAGAAATTGCACAAGTTAATGACGTCATAATTGGTATTTAGGAGGTCATATTGGAACCAGAAGTCTCTGTCGAGACTGAAGCTCTACTGGTTTGTACTTATAGCAAAGGAAGAGAAAAGTACTTAAGCAGTTGGAAATTGAAACTTTTCAACAGCAATAAATAGAATAATGATCCTTGATTAAGTCTCTTTATGTTCTTAGTGCAGTCTACTTGCATGCCACATTTATATTATAATCAGACTAAAATTGTATTTGGAGTAGCATTTAGAAAGAATTTCACATAAATTTCTATTTTTAGTAACCACGGCAACACCGTTCATCGAAATCAAAAACCGATACACAGAATTGTGTATCTTATTGTAGTCTACTTGTGTGCCAAGTTATATTGAAATCAGACTAAAACTGTAGGAGGAGTAGCATTTTGAAAGAATTTCACAGAAATTTCTATTTTTAGTAACCACGGCAACACCGTTCATCGAAATCAAAAACCGATACACAGAATTATGTATCTTAGTGTAGTCTACTTGTGTGCCAAGTTATATTGAAATCAGACCAAAACTGTAGGAGGAGTAGCATTTTGAAAAAGACGGACAGACAGACAGACGGACGGACGACGGACGCATTACTATCGCATAAGCTCTTCTGGTCTCTGACCAGTAGAGCTAAAAAAACGATTTAGATGTTTTCACTGCACGGAATTTCAATAATTCAGATGGGATGAATTTTCGTTCCTTATATCACTTCCAAATCTTAGAAAAATACAGGGCAAGATTTGTATCGAAATTGAACTTTGTTCTTACTAATTAAGTAAAAGAAATCAACAGAAAAAGCAATTTAAGGATACAGAGAGGTGATAATTAAACATTAATATGTTAAGTATGAAGGGTACAGCAATACGCAAATAAATTAATAGGAAACGCACATTGACGTATGTCCCAAATCATGCATTCTTAGAAGGTCAGACGTCATTTTAAAGGTACTTGGACACAGATTTGAAGTTTATATTTTCTGTATAAAAATAATGAATCGTAAACATCAACAATAACAGAGCTCGTGCCCTGTTTACAAAAACTGTTTACATAACACGAGTGTGATCGATTTGCTATACTCTGTACACAACACTTAGCTCGGAATGACGATACTTGTGAAGGAGTTTTGCTTTCTAACATTTCTACTCTGAATAAAATTATTTTTCTGAATTAAAGTTTTAATATTTCTCATTAATACACAACAAGATTGCCACTTTCCTAAGGATTAAGAATAAAGTTAAAATTTGTGAAAGTGCAAGGAGGTGTCAATCAAACCCGCCAAAAAATTTGAAGTTATAATAACTTTAAAATGAAGTAAGATTTTTATTTAATTTTTGTGTGAAATGCTATTAAAATATATAATTCGTGATATTATACACAGAAAATATTGACTTCAAATCTGTGTCCAAGTGCGTATCTAATCAACTGGGAATCATAAACTTATTCTACTTTGTAACCATTGTTTTTAAAAATTGAATTGAGTATAGAGTTTTTGGAATTCAGTATAAGTATGGTAATTCAAATTCATTTTGGTTGTTAGGGATATTAGAAATATTCAAAACTGACATGATGTTTTGGCTCTTATATCTTTGTATCTTAAATATACAATATTTATTTATTTATCTCGTTTAATATTCAAATAATCATAAATTTTTGGCTGAGTAAACGAAAAATAAGGATAAATGATAACACCCTTATAAACGCGTACTACAACGAGTGATCTACAGACCCTGGCCATATCATAAACATTTTAAGGATAAATAACACAAAACGAACTTTTTCTAAAGAAACTGAATTCCCTTAATGTATCCAGATGCCTTTCTCATCGAAGAAATAATATCTGACCATCTTACAACTTTATTATTGAAGAATTCACCAAAATTTGGTGTGTGGAAAATGAGAAGATTCATGACAAGTCATGGGTAACAAATAACAATGAGATAGAAATGAAGGATATGGCGATAAACAAACAGTATTCAATATCAAAGGCCATAAAACAATACAAAACAGGAGCAGAGCAAACACGGACCTCCAAAAGCATCCCCTGCCGACCGGTCACACCCGCCGTGTGCTCCTTGTCATGATCGGGGAATAATGAAAAAATCCGTCCTCAGTTCAGTGTATAATGGACTAACAATTAGTATTAAAAACGTCAGTCAGCATTTGACTCAAAGAAAAATTGTATTTGCTGACAAGGTCATTGTATCGACCATAGAACTTACGAAATGATGACTTTAACCGAGACTGCTGATATTCTTGTTCATCAACTTGATTGTCAATAATTTACCTCGTTTTAGAAATTGTTCATACGTAGAGCATGCTCTTGCATATCGAATCAACTGAGATATGTAAACTCCGTATGCAGGTGATGAAGGTATGTTGCAGCACAAGTAAGGAAAGTTGACTATAGAAAAGTTAAAGTCATCATGTTTGTCATATAGCTTGGTTGTTAGATTACCATTAACGTCTTTTTCAAGTAAAAAATATATCCAAATATGAAACAGAATGAGATGTGTCAGACTCTGTGGTACTAGTATCTTTGAAAAACAAGACTCTAAAAAATATACGTACGAGACTGCATCGATAAGGCATGATGAGGTGGTACACGTATCAATATTAGCTTTTAAGAAACATTCTACAACAAGCCTGATAATTCTAATGCAAAAGTTGAAGATAAAAAACAATGACGATCTTAAAATATTTATAAACAATTTATACAAATATATGAAAAGAGGGCATCAGACACAATGAAATGCTGACAAGGTCGTTCTGACGAAAATGGAATTTACGAAATGCTGAATGAAATGTTCAAGACCACTTACAGTAATAATATATGTGAACTTAACAAATATATGGAACTCTAAAATCATCAAAGGTAGGATCAGGTATCATGGAGGAGTATTCATTCATCATTCGTCTTTACGATAAAAGGTGTATGTGTTTGGTAATATTATATATTGTGTCTCATAATACTAGTATTGACAATGTATCAAAATACATTAAAAAATTTAATGAGAAAGTAGATATCCTTGTTTGTCATTAGATTGCGTCATTAAAAAGATTGCATGAAAAACCTGCTCTTTTGTAACATTTTGAAGACATAAACTCGTTATACAGTGATGATAGTATATTGCTCAGTAAATAAGTGAAGTCTACGATAGAAAATTTTGTTGATTTTAATTTCTAATAAAATATTAATTCAAACCAATTAGGAATGAAAACAAGCATTCCTTATACGGGTATATAAAACGCTAAACTACGGTAAACTCTACGAGATACAAATCGCAACAGGACCAGTGTAACGTAACTGTAAGGTTGACAAAATAAGTGTACGACTTCTTTGACTAAACTGTATTATTAATAAACCACCTAACAGAACTAGCTGAGAAACAACCTGCAAAATGAATAATGATTTAACCATTTTGAAACACCACCTCAGATATAGCTTAGTTTGGAAGAAAAATATTTTTTTCACATAGGAACTTATGATTAGAGTGTCTTCACTTCTTTCAGGTGAATTTCAACAACTTTCCTCTTTGTGTTAATGTCGTATTTCTCCGTGCCGCATCGTGACCTTGAGGATGTGAAGGTCGGGGACAGAGGACAGTATCTACAACAAGTCACTTTATCCAGGTATTTTGTCAAGAAAGGAAACGAATACAATGTCTGGTCGCTCTCTGATGAAGAATCTGGTACCGCTATCCATCGCTTTATCACTCTCTCGCACTCCGTACCTAAAATTGTTAATACAAACTGTACCTTTTTACACCTGGTTCTTACAGTCCTCAAGCCTCTTTTTGTTTTTCAAGTTACATTTATTTAATTTGACATTTCTTCACTTTATACTAAATATTTCAAGACACATTTCGATATGTAAAATTGACATTGCGTTGATAAGAAAGTTTTTTTTCTGATTAGAGAATTTCTTTTTGGCTATTTTATGCATAATCTTATTCCATCTTTAGACGGAGCTGTAATAACAGCAGCAAATTATATAAAGACAAGTATATTTGAAATAACGTGCCAAAAAGTTGGCTCAAACTGACCTGGAATCATGTTATCTAACAGGAACCCAATAAACCCTCCTGTAAAAGAAGCGGTTCCAAACAGCACCTTAATCACGTGATCCAGATCTTGGGAACCTGAAAAGTAGGCACCAGAAAAATCATTAACCATTTTTATCGCTGTAAACAGATATACACACCTTTAAGCTTTTAGAACTCTCTTTAACATTTATATTTTTCAAATAAAATTCTTTTAAAAACCTTCTGTTCTGATTATGTCTTGTAAGTAGTTTGAATATCTTTGAATTCATTCTCAATCTCAAAATAAAAAAAAAACTGTGTACAGTTGAACTCCTGTAGGATATGATTAGGGGGAAAGCACGCACCTGTTTTGACTTTGTCGCTGTGTTGGGTTAACCACTGTGGAATCATAAGACCCATCAGGAAGGACACGCCCAGGATTGGTGATTTTTCTTGTCGAGAACATTTCACAAAACTGTAATACTGGGTAAAAGATAAATCAAAATTAAAGTCTTTTCAAACAACAAATATGAAAACCCCAAAGAATCTTGTTTTTACAGGTATTCACATTAAAGACAAGTTACTTTTAAGGTCACACACCAGAAAAGACAATGGTCCGTATTATTTTTTTAAGTCTGTGAACAATATTAAGGGATTCTACTGCTGCGATAAGATACACATATTTTGACATAACGAACAGTATTCAATATCAAAGCATAAAACAATACAAAATAGAAGCAGAGAAAACACGGACTTCCAAAGCATCAGAGGTGGGATCAGATGCCATGGAGGAGTGAGCATCAACCAAATATTATGCGACGCCTGTCACACCTGCCATGTGCTCTGCTGCTCTCGGAGAATATGTTGTCAAATCAGTGTATTAATAAAACATTATAAGCTGAAGCAGATACCATAAATATTAATTCCTTATAATTTAAAAAGAAGAATATGCTCAATCGTAAATGATAAATCAACCAAAATACAAAGACTACAAGAACTGAAAAAGTATCTACGGAAACGAAGCTATCCCGAAAAAAATATTGATGATGCTATTAAAAAAGCCATAGAATTAGACATAAAGGACCTCCTCAACTCTGTGCAACAAAACAGGACGTATTCCAGGATCCTGCCATTAGTAACGACCCATAATCCCCAAAATAAAACGTTGCACCGATTGTTTCCAACTCAGCGACGTTTTGAAAAACAGACGAAACTATGTCTAAAATATTTAAAAATCGGAAATGCATAAACAGTAGGAGGCAGCCGAAGAATATCTTTTTAAAAAAAATGACAGATTTTCATGTGACCAAGTGCCAGGATCCGCGTCGTGGTACCTGCCCATACATACGACAAAGACAAAATTTCAATTTTAGCGGGAGTTTACTGTTAATAATAACATGTTATGCCAAACTAGAAATGTTAGATACACGTTATAACATGTTCCTGTTGCGGAGAATTATATATCGGCGAGGCGGGAAGTACATTACGGAAAAGGATCAGAGTACATAAACAACAACAACAACAAAAAAAAAAACGTACCGCAATACTGTAACTCAAAGTCAGCGAAGACTTAGACTTGTGCGGAAATAAAACTTTTACTGTCTTTCCATTTTATAAACTCCACAACTCTAACACAATCGAAAGACGTGATGAAGAAAAAACATTTTCATAAGGACTTTAAAACCTAAATTAAATAGTTTAATGTTAAAGAATGTTTTCTTTGTCAAGTATTTTATTGAGTCACATTTATTTTTACTGCGTTTTAAATAGTACGAGAGATATAGTTCTTTAAAGTATTAGCTAATCAGGTTTCAGCACACTTGCATGCATGTCGTTGATAATAGCTAAAAATTGTCAAATGAAAATTTGAATTGTCTGATAATTGTGTGATAAAGTATATATGAATCTAAGTTTAAAAGTTGTCTCAAGGTACATCTTTAAGAAGCGATTGTTGAGCCAGTCATGTGACTGATACGCCCATGCAATAGAGTACAAAATCCATGAAGGGACACGTCGATTTCTTTAAAATAGTAAAAATTAATTTGAGATCTCGAATTACATATATAGACATTCCGTCTCATTGGCATCGGAAGCAAATTAAAAGTGAGGGGGGGGGGGGGGGCTAAGCGTAAAAAAAAAAATTGTATCTTCTTTAAAAAAAACCCTGACAAGCAAAAAAGGGGGGGGGGAATGTCCATTTCCCGGACACGAAAATCCTATTTCGCGCGCGCGCGGGGGGGGGGGGGGGGGGGGCTAAGTTTAAACTCCAGTAACCAAACAACACCAATTTCGTAACCTATACTACGACGTGCCTGTATAAAATGGTGGGGGGGGGGGGGGGGGGGGGGGCTAAACCTACGATGTAATGTTAAACGTCTATACTAAGTATATATTTGGAAAAAAGTGGGGGGGGGGGGGGTTAAGCCCGGTTCCGACGCCTATGCGTCTTCTCGAATTTCAATTACATGTTCATGTTATACGGCTTGGAAAATCCATTATCAACTAATGAGTTCTACTTATTTAAGCAACTGGCCATTTTGTACTATTTTAAATTTTTTAAAATAATTCATTCAATGTAGATTTCTTTAAAAAATAATTACACAGGACCCATGTTTACATTTATCAGGTCCTCCTATCATTCTAACATAACAAAAAAATCTACCTCATATTTCCGAATTATATAATCAGAGATTTCGGTTTACTTTTGCACTTTTTTTGAGAATCCTCATATCCCTTCACGGCTTTCGTATTTGAGCGCAGAGGCATTTTTTCACATCATAGGTGTACAAACCGAAAGTGCAAATTCAAAACCAAATGTAAGTTTTAGCCGATCTTTTGTTACTTTTTTTATTATAATGCAATTACTCTTTAACATTGTTTTATTTGACATGGTTTATAAAGTGTATGACTGGTGAAAGTAAGTCTATATAAATGTGCATACTGTATTAACAAAAACAATATTATTGCAGCAACCCTCCCGTCAATATGGCTACCGCCCAGGGACAGGACATCATTCGTTGCGAGTTATGCTTTAACTCGGTGGAACATCATTGTAATCTTTGTCATGTAGATCTCTGTTCTACCTGCATACCAAATCACATGGCTGACAAGTCACGAAGGCATGAAATTGTTGAGTTTCTTTACAGAAAGAAAGGACCCGTCTTACCGCCGTGCCTATCCCACAAGAAAAACCATTGCGAGATGTATTGCCAAGACTGTAAGACACCGACTTGTACACAGTGTGTTACAAGTACACACAAAAAGCATGACATTACTGAAATTAGTGAGGTTCTCGAGAATCTTACACGGCAAATTATTGCTGACACAAAAGAACTGGAAAACATCATTGTTCCAAAATACAGAAATGTAAGTCCCGTCGGATCTGCAACAGAATATGAACGAGTTTTAATCGCTATACAAAACCAAGACGAAAAAATCTGCAAAGCTGTACATATAGTTTGCAACAACCTCAAAAATCAGGTGATCAATCAAAAGAAAGAAGCTGAAAAGAAGAACACAGAAAATCAGTCAGTTACAGGCAAAACTGAAAGGGAAATTAATGAGGTCATCAAACAAAACAACTATATTCTGAGATCTAATGATGCCACAGCCTTATTGGACTACCAATCAAAAAACCATAACTTTAGATCAGGTCCCAGTGTCACAGAACTGCCTTGTAACTTAAACTTTTTTCCCTGTCCCGTCAAAGAAAGCAACATACTGCAAATATTTGGTTCCCTTCAGAACACCAATACACCAATCAAACAACCTGAAAAAAGAAAGATTTTAGTCAAACCTACAATATTAGACACTATTCAAAGTCCTTATGGTAGATCTTCAACAAAACTCTTTGAAATACATTGTGGAGAAGAAGATACAATCTTGTTGAGTGGAAGCCATGGCACATTCAAAAACATAGACAGGACTGGGGCCATTCTATATTCATTTGAAAGTCTTCATAATGTTATAGCATTGTCCATGAATTTGCAGGGGGAACCAGTGTTTTCAACAGGTTGGTCTAGTACAAATTTGTATATTTACAAGAACAATACAATGGAGATACTGTTGAATCTATCAGAATGGTACCCGAGAGGTCTCACCTACACAGCAGCTGGACAACTACTGGTGAGCATGCGTTCTCAAGATATGAAAGAAAGTAGAGTAATGAGCTACTCAGGATTTACTGAACTCCAAAAGATTCAGTATACCAGTCAGGGTCAGCCTATATTTTCTACTGGCAGAGAAGGTCATCTTCAGCTGACTGTAAGTAGACATGGAGAATTCTGTGTGGCTGATCGCAATATGCAAGCCGTAATTGGTGACGGTAACTTTTTATGTTACATAGATCACATGAGCAATGGAGGAATAAGTGTTGACAGTGATCACAATTTGGTTATTGGAGACAGGGATAGTGGAAAAATCCAAATCATCAAATACCTTGAATAAAGACCTACAGGATACTGCAACATTCCGCGGACTTACACCTGCATTTTTAGACGGAAGATCCTTCTATTTATCTATTGTATCTTTTTAAATTTTATCATTCTTTTCTTTCTTTTCTCGGAGATGACTCATTCAATCTCCTTCAAACTTCAGGGTTGATGGATCCTTATCTGAAGTTAGTTCTGGCATTTCCGTTTTTGATTAATTCGATCAAATGTTATCTCCCTTTTATCGAATTTTAGATGACCATTACTGAATCCTTTAGAGTTCAGTTAATTTTAGATGACCATTACTGAGTCTTTTTGAGTTCAGTTAATTTTAGATGACCATTAAAAATTAAAAATATGATAAAATTTGACACTCCTGAACTATGTCCTGAATTTCGACCCCTACCAAGCTTCCGTACAAGGCAATTTGAAAACCCAGGTGCACAACTACAACATGTCCTGTATTATCACTGAAAGTCTCAGCACTCTAGCTTTTGTTGTTTTTGAGTAAATTTGAATATTTTCTTAAAACATATTGTACAAAAATTGTAAAAAATGACACAAGAAAAAAGGGCTAACTGATCACATTAGGGACTAAGAGGGGCCGAAAGTCTTTTATCCATTTAAAGATTAATATTTTGTTACACATTACTGAAGCAGAAATGTTTATCGTAATAATCTAAAACTTCATATTACATGTATAATATTTTTGTCATATATTACATAATTAGGGGCCTTAAAGGGCCAGAATGCTTAAATTTTGACGCTTTATAATACAAGAGTAAAAATTTTTTGGTAAGCAATACTGAATAAAAGATTCTCAAAATGACGTTTTAAAGAATGTGCAGCCTTTCAAATTTTGATTTGAGTTCCCACTGAGAAGTCGATTTTAAAAGGCCGCGAAAGTGGGAAATATTTTGATAAGTAAAAGTGAATAAAAGATGTTTGAAAACAATATGCAACTTTTCATTTTTTGCTAAACGTCCAAATTAAGGATTTGAAGGGTTTGCCCCTGATTAATTCTATTGCAAATATTTCGGAAAGTAAAAGAATCTCTGAATAGTTGTTGAGCAAAACGTGTTCAAAATCCTGAGATAAATCCTTAAATAAAAAAGGTGCTTGGAACTCAAATTAAGGGTCGCAAGGGGACAAAAGTCTTTGATCGATATTTTTTTTTACAGTCAATACATGAATTGTATTTTGTTATACGTTGCTGAAACAAAAATTTGTTATCTCAACAATCTGCAACTATATGTTATGATTGTTTTGTCATATGTTCAATAATTTGGAGTCAAAAGGGGCCACAATGTTTGACCTTTTTACATTTCGAGAGTGAGAAATATTTTGATAAGTAATACTGAACAAAAGATTTTCAAATTAATGTTCTAAACAATATGCAATCTCTCAATTTTTGCTAAAGATCCCCATCAAGGAGTTAAAAGGGTTGTGTAACGTTCCTCTCTATGGGGTGTTTGTTGATACCCACGTCACAAAATATTGTGGATCCCGTGTATAAGATAGGAACTTTAGATCTTTATAGATCTAACATCAGAACAACGACTAAGTTTGTTTCAACGAGTGTATTAATAATATCCAAACGTAGTTTACAGTCCAGTACAAGCAAAGTATATCAACTCACTAACTCTCTCTCCTTATATACCCTGTCTGACACCTAACGTGATTTAGGGCACCTTGTTAGGGTATTGGGCTCCATCGTTAGGGCACCTGTTAGGGCGTTAGGCTCCATCATTAGGGCACCCTGTTAGAGCAATCGGCTCCATCATTAGGGCCTCTGCACCATTGTTAGGTGTCAAGACACTTGATACATTTAGCATCTGATAAGCGCCATATTAATTAGGACACTTATTAGACTTCCAAGATAAGGGCGCTAATCAGGTACCATGGTTAGGGCTTATCAAATAAACAAAAAATAATATTCCTATTTTATTAACAACTGTAGCATATTTACATATATAAACAAAAACATTACATTGGTCCCTCCTTTTGAAACATGACTTCCATTGTCATCAATATTTAAAACATTATCATGAATTATATGTAAAATCAAGTTACAAATAGCAAACAAAATCAACAGAAAGACAAGAAGTAAAACAACAAAATTATATCAAATAAAAATGTCACTAGATTAAGTCAAAAGTTTATCACACTGGTAGCTTCACATTTGGGTTTCCTGGCCTTATTTTCATAGACAACATTTTCTCCTTTTTTCTGATTTAGGATTTTCTTCCTTACGTTTTAGGCCGTATAAAGTAGACTGACACCTGACCTGCGGCATCAGTCATCTTAGTTAATATAATTCCTTACATTTCTCTTTTCAACACAATTATGGTCTCGAGAACTGTCTCTTGGTTGAAATTCTCCTCTTTCTCTCTGGTACCATGGGTTGTAAGGGCGTCCCCTCCTCCCTGGTTCTGTACTGTTACATGTACTTGGGGTTCTCATATTTATATAGATACTGTTGAATCCGTCACCCGCGCTTGGAGGTTTGGCAGTATCCGCAGCTGCTATTTCATCATTTAATTCCCCATCTTCAACCTCATACACAGGCCTATAGCCTGGTTTTGTCTCCTTTGGCAATTCGTTTTCCCCAATCCGCAAGCACTCTTCTTGCATTGCATTAAGAATTGCTTCTTGAAGTGTCCTGGGTCTGGTCCGTTTCACTGCAAGTCGAAAATCCTCAGATAGTCCACACTTATCTAAGAAGGACTGTATAGCGTTTTCTTTCACTAAATCTGGGTTTCCTGGATAGGCCCTTCGGTAAAGATCTTCGATGGCCTGTCCAAAATCTCGCAGGGACTCACCAGGTTGTCTTCTCCTTAATTTGACATCCGCAATATATTTTTCTTTCATTGCAGAATGTCCAAATCTTTGATTCATTTTCTCCTTTAGTTGCTCATAATCACGCTGTACAGCAACAGGCATTCCATAGGCGTAGCTCTCGGCTTGTCTTCGCAAGGTGCTAAGCAAAACTCTGCGAGATTTCTCGGGTCCCCATGTGTTTAATTCTGAGATGTTTTCGAAATATTGTAAAAATTCATCCCAAACATCATCATTGGCCCCTGAGAAGGTCCTCCTTACTGGATATTCATCGGTTCGTTGACCAGCATTTGGTGTCATAGAACTGTTTTTAGGTGTCCCGTCAGCCATAGGAGATTCAAAATTGCATCCAAGTCCCTGAGGAGACTGATTGCCCAAATAAGGAGTAGCGCGTCCAGATTGCCCAAAAACCTTAGGTTCCTGATAGGTACCTGTAGGGGCGTTAGGCGCGCTACCACCAATATAGGGTGTATCAGTAGGTGTCAAAGAAATTCCCGTTTTCTTACTGGCATTTGTCAGACCTGATTTTCCGTACTTCCATGCTACGCCGATTACCATAACAAGCAATACCATACTTGTTACAGATACCAGAGAAATAACTGCATTTTCATGCGATTTCTGTACGATCTTGCTTTCTGGAAAATAGGTCCAGGACATCATCAACAGAGAACATACTATCAAAGCAAAGATTACCCAAATAAATAGGATTCTCTTTAAGCTTGGTCTTGGATTGTACTCGTTGAAAACAGAATGACCCTGCGAGTTTTGCCCGAACTCCTGAAAGTTAGGACTGTCTGGCATAACTCGACTTGTGGGCTGCAAATCTGTTGTACACCCAGAATTGACCTCTATTCCAGAGTCATTCAGAGGAGTTGGACTGTCAAAGTACTGTTCTACCTTTCTAGGTGTAAATCTCCTCCTTACAATGGGTGTCTCCATTTCAAACTCAGTGCTGTCCCGTTCCGGTGTTACACGTAGAATAACTTCTTTGGATCCCACCGCTGCCACCAATTGTAACGTTTTTCTCTCTCTATATGGGGTGTTTGTTTCTACCCGCGTCACAAAATATTGTGGATCCCGTGTATAAGATAGGAACTTTAGATCTTTATAGATCTAACATCAGAACAACGACTAAGTTTGTTTCAACGAGTGTATTAATAATATCCAAACGTAGTTTACAGTCCAGTACAAGCAAAGTATATCAACTCACTAACTCTCTCTCCTTATATACCCTGTCTGACACCTAACGTGATTTAGGGCACCTTGTTAGGGTATTAGGCTCCATCGTTAGGGCACCTGTTAGGGCGTTAGGCTCCATCATTAGGGCACCCTGTTAGAGCAATCGGCTCCATCATTAGGGCCTCTGCACCATTGTTAGGTGTCAAGACACTTGATACATTTAGCATCTGATAAGCGCCATATTAATTAGGACACTTATTAGACTTCCAAGATAAGGCGCTAATCAGGTACCATGGTTAGGGCTTATCAAATAAACAAAAAATAATATTCCTATTTTATTAACAACTGTAGCATATTTACATATATAAACAAAAATATTACAGTTGTCCCTAAATATTTTTATTGCAAAGATCTCAGGAAAAAAAGAATTTCTGAATAGTTGTGAACAAAAAATGTTTTAAAACTTTAAAGCTTTAGGATGATATCAAGAAAAAAAGGGGCCAGCTCCTCAAACTAGGGTCTTATATGTCTTTAATCAATAACGCTTAAACGAACAGTGTTTTTTAAATAAACTAATGAAGCAGTAATAGTTCATTTTCATAGTTTTTCAGTATCATTGATATTTGAATGAAAATCTCAGCTACATTCTTATCTCATCTTATCGAAAATTGGACGGGAGACCCTCTCGAGATCGGAATCATCCTATGTAGTTCTTAATTCATTCTATTTCAAAGCTTTGATTACTATCTTGAACATTAATTTTAGTATAATCTTATCGGATCGAGACGGGTCCGGGCTCTTGGAATTAGCAAAGTAATTAATAGTATATTCTGATGCAAATCAAAAATATCTTTAGACCCTCTAGAAAACGTGAACCCTACAACCATCACCACGAAGTAGTATTTATTTTACGTTTGGAAATGGACTTTTACATGTTTTTGTTTTTGATAATTTTTTTTTTTTTGAAAATTTTTAATTTTTATTTTGCCTGCCAAGAAATTTTCTGGGTCAATACGTCTTGGAAAGAAGTAATCAGGGTAAA